ATCCTTTCCCTATCTTGACTCTGTCTAGCAGCAGTTTCATCAGCTGTTTCTTGTGCTCTTCTTCTAGCTATCCTTTCCCTATCTTGAGCTTGTCTTGCAGCAGTTTCTTTTGCCGTTTCTTGCGATCTTCTTTCTGCCATCCTCTTGGCTATTTTTGATTTCCGTGAATACAATGATTTCAAAACTCGTTTGGGCATCTTGACACTTACTGACTTAGGTAAGGGTGTAGTTTGTTTGTGCAGTTCACAAAGTTAATTGACTGTTTTGAACACTACAAAGTAATACTATGTATATATACACATCTATACTTTTATTCTGCTTGTTTGTATGTACGGCCGTTACGCTTTCTGACCTAGTACCTGCTGCATAAGCATGCATAGTTAGAATGCCCCCCCTCCCACAGCCAAGAAAAACCGCGCATGCGCATTATTCACTCGACGACAAACAGTCTGCCTGCGGCAAATCGGAGTGATTAAGTCGGTACAATTGCTGTATGGAACAAGAAGTAACAACAAAAGGGGGATGTAAATATACTTTACTAACCATTTTGTACAACAGAATATTAAAAACTTATCAAAGTTTTTAAAAAAGGTTTGACGTTAGGTCGTAGAATAACATTATAACTTCATTTATCGATAGTATTAAGTACGCTAAAGTTTAGTCCTAACTAAACTAAAAGTAAAAAAGCGTACACAGGTGTTAATTTATCTCTTTATCGAACTTAGGCGTAACATAAGTTAAAGTTTTATAAAGTACGGCATATATACAAGTGGATTTACACATTTCGTTGTCTACGACAACAATTCGTTTGTATTGTGCTAGAAATGTTATATTTAAAGAAGTACTGTTACGATAAAGATGCTAATTTCACCGGAAATGTATTGCGGGTCTCTACTAGTATTTATATATTACACCTACTATTTACAATTACTGTAGAGAATGAAAGCAACAAGCGACCTCTCTGAGGTAATAGTGAAACACTGTAGAACAAAGTATACGCCAGTTCAATTTGTCTTTACCTGATTAATTAGTTGACGGTCATTGTTATAGAAAATTTAATTTATTTGTTTAAGGAAGTTGCGCTATCTATTAACATAGATATTTTTAACTTACGTCAAAAATAATAAATGTTCAATAATTGGGAGAGGAGGAGATTGTGAACCCCAAATCAACATAACCCTTGTTCCAAATTATCATCCCCCAAAGTTTTGTTGAGCAACCTAGGAGTAGTTAGGTAACAGACAGATATAAAGATATTTTTGCTATATATATATATATATAATTTAGTAACTTCAGCAGTCAACTAAAACAAATACTGTTAAACAGAGGACTGTCATCTATCATTTTTTTGACAATTTGTTATAGAAATGACGTATCCTTCGCATATTTCAACAAATACCCAAATATGTTAAACAAACTATGATTGTGTACTACTTTAAATCTTTACACCTAAAATTACTTTTCTCTCATGTTGCCAACTTATTCAAGAAATAGTCGTGCTGCTACTTAAGGAAATTTAACGTATTACAATAGCATTAATAGAACAATGATCATAATTTTTCACGAAGTTTAATACTAACGGGACAAACACGTTGGTATAACAAAATAAACTCTCAATAATTCTTCCTTTATTATCAATATCTTAAACTACATTAGTAATTAATCAGCCTTTCATATTATAACAAAAAGAACAGAAACAAGAAAGAGATGCTAATAATATACTCTGTGCAAATCCTTCCTTCACTCCATCCTCCCCTGTTTGGTGAAAGTACAATGTCTTGTCGTATTTTTTACTGTAGTTGTGATACAGCTTTCTTTTGTACAGCATTGGTTGCATAAGCTTTTCTTGAAGCTGCTTTCTTTTGCTCAGGATTGGCTGTATAAGCTTGTCTAGAATAGTAGAAGCTGCTATTTTTATCTGGATTAGCCTCATAAGATCGTCTAGAAGCTATTTTCTTGTATTTATGGTTTGCTTCATAGCTAGTTTTATGAATAATCTTTTTTGGTTCAGGATTTGATTCACCATTCCATATTTTCCTTGCTAAAACTATCTCCTCGTTATCTTGATATTTTATCTTTCTTTCTTGCCTTTTTATCTAAGCTCTAGAAGGCATATTAATTTTTAGCCAGTATACTTCTAAACAATTTTTAGCTAGTAATACTCAGCAATGTAGTGCTAAATAAAGAAGTGAGGTAACGTGTTTTGAAAGTGTTACTACGATTAGTATTTATTACGTCACCAATACATAAAAACACATATTTCAGAAATAGTAGCTGTAAATTGAAATCTACATTTGAAAATGTTACAATAAAAAATTAATTTTCTCTAACCTTGAACTTTTGAATTCCTGGATAACTTATTAACAGAACTTCCAAACTTGGTTTATAGCGAGTTCCTTGGACTTGGCTACTATAGTTCATGTACTAGTTTCTGAACGATGACATCTAAGCCATTTGTGTCCATAGTCGTCTGATTTCCAGCTTTAAATCAGAGGGCCGTGAAGCTAATGAACATGATATTTTTACATGGTTGATTAACAGCTTAGACCTAGTTTCCGTAGTGATAAGGTTCACGCTTCTAAAGCCTCGTTCGCATTCGGAAGAACTGCAAGGGATAACTTTTGAACACCCGATTAAAGGAGTCAAATCTGATGGAATATGGCGCCTAAAGTTGTCTAGAAAGTCTCTGTATGCTGTGGTTGTTTTTGAAAATGGCAGTCTGAAACATTTACAAAGGGACTCTACTTCCTTTTCTCCAAAGCCTGGATTTATTTCTGCTGGCCACTCATTAACTTCTACAGTACGGAGCTCAGAAATTATGTTTGGAATGGAATTAGAAGTGCCTGGCTGTGCCCCAATTGGTTAATGAGAAGAAGTTGGTGTGAATAACCGTTGTTTCATTTTGTTTATGATACTGGTTAAAAATTGACCACGATTCGTTGAAACAATCTTATTGTTCTCTGTCCCCCATTCTTTCTGGAAATATCTTGTACCGTCGTGAATTGTCGGGAGATTACTAGATATAGGGTAGTCTGGTATATATAAGAGGGCGACAACGTGACGGGACAATAATGTGTGTGTGGGTAGTGAGTAATTGATCTGCAGTGAGAAAGTATTGTTGAAGTTAACGTTCGTTATACGTTTGTTTTAACGCGAATGTTGAAATCAAGTGTATCGTAAAGTTATATTCGGAAAGAATAAACCAGTTTTATTAAGTAAGGACTTCTGTCGCTAAAGTTTCGTCGGAACGAATTTACGGGAAATCAATTAACAAACGGAGACGTAACAGCACTTTAGAAGCCTTACAGAAAAGGGATATTATTATAGTTTATGCAGACAAGTTAATTCGTCGCAGCATAGGGTTTTTAGAAGCAATGAAGGAACATCAGAGTAAAAAGGCCTTAGAAGGAGAGAATGCCATTAAGGAAATGAAATTTTATTAATAACACTCGTGACACTAGTCACGTGACCTCGCTGACGCAACAGTGTTTAACAAGAAGGCTCAGTTAGAAATATTAGCTAAACCAAAACGGGCCGTATTTATATTACTGGAACTGAGCATTTATTGGTTACTGTGTAAGAATGGTTAAATAACAAACAGGATGTTCACACTTTTACACCGATACCGCTAAATCCCGACTATCTCGGGAGGTGACTAACATTCAAATACCTAACAAGTTTTTTGGATCGTACTTATTTTATCTCACTTGAATATATAGAGTACTTTAGACAATTTTTGTTACAATTACTTTACTACAAACAAGCCGATAAACTCTACCCAACTTTGTTTTCGAAGCCGGGAAAATTCTAATGCCAAGAGTGGCATTTCATTGCTTTGTTTTCGGAATGTTTCTACTTCACCCGCTAACAGTAAAATAAACATACGAAATAGGTGTGAAAGTAGAAATACACAGGAGATTTACTCTGGAATTTCGTGGTCCATACTCAAAAGTCCCGACAATACTGTTCATTTTGTTTCGTCGAGTTTTAAAATCAATTGCTAACAATATAATAACTGCAGAAAATAGGCGTGAAAAGGTGAGAGGTATAAGCTCTGACCATAAAATGGCCAGGTGGTTAGGGAGCTCGACTCGTAATCTGCGGGTTCGAATCCCCGTCACACCAAACATGCTCGCCCTTTCAGCCGTGGAGGCATCATAAGTGACGGTCAATCCCACTCTTCGTTCATACAAGAGTTGGCGATGGGTGGTGATGACTAACTGAATTCCCTCTAATCTTACACTGCTAAATTAGGGACGGCTAGCGCAGATAGCTCTCGTGTAGCTTTACGTGAAATTCATAACAAACAAACAAACTGGCCATAAATTGTTTGGAACTTTGTCATCAATACTAACAGAACTCCACATTTTATTTTGCAATATTTTCTTTCATTATACTTTAATACTTTTCTTACAACCTGGATGAAAGGGTTAATGATTCTTTCTTCTAGAGGTGAGCAAAACTTCACGAAGTTTGAGATTTGTAAGATCGGATTCGTTAGAATTAGTGAAGTAAAAGGTAAGGGAACGCTGTTCCACACCACAGAGTATATTTTATGGCACAGTCACTGGAATGCAACAGCAAACTCACCTTTCGTAACGCTAACACAATGAAGTACCAAGTCAGTATGGTATTTTGGTTTACATTGCCCCATTGCACGTGCGCACACGTATGTTACATCATCTATTGTCTTTGTTGTTATAGCAATTACAAGATGTCGTAATGTAGTCATGTGCGTCAACCTCGAAGTCTCTACCTTATAGACTTTCTATCTAGTTAATGTATTGAAGGAAATGAATTTATACTTAGCACTGTATAGTAGTGTGTGATTTAGCTGAAGAGTTTGTTTCGTTTATAAGTTACAGCATGAGGAGAAGAAGAATCTGAAGCAATGTCATGTTTAGTAGCTTTGTGGACGTCCTGCAAAAATTACCTTGCGGTCACCGGGGGGAAGTCAAAATTACCGAACAATGGAAGTGCCTTCAAAGTTATGCAACTACTATAATTTTTTATACAGTATGCGTATCTTTACGAAAGTTTGCAGATTATCAGTAAACTTTACAAGGTTTTCATATACAAAATATCAGATTTTTGTATCAAGTTTCAAGAATTTTTAAGTAATGATTTGCTTGTGCATTTTTCTTCTCGAATGTTGACTGCACAACGTGCAGATTAATTTTGATTTTAGGATTAAAGATAATTTTATGCATCAGAAAATTGTCAAATTTCACATACGAAATCTTAATAACCTCCAGATAATTATCAATCATGTTTGTTTGGAAAAATCTTTATATTTTATCTATTATTTTAACTATTTTATCTCTGTATGGATTTGGTCGATTTGACTGAGGTTGACCTCGTAACCAACATAAAAAATTAGGAAATAGATAAAAATTACACTTTTTTCGTTCTAAAATTAGTACAAATTATAACAAGAAAACCACAAAATGTTTAGTCTAAATAGCTTAAATCTCATAACATTATATATCTATGTATATTTAGTATTCTTATTTTATTGACCTTTCAGCGTGTCTGACCAGAATTACATTAGTTGCAATGAGGCGGCCTTTACAAAGTGATCTGTCTTCAGTTTGTTCTAGTAGACTGGTATGTTGTAAAATACAGTCACATCTCGGTTATAATACATTACAAACGTGTATATATTATTTCTATTTACAAATATGTTCTTAAATTTCAATTATTTTCCTTAAAATATAAAACAGTAAATAAAGAAGTATAGGCTACAATGATCTTTTCTACTTACTATTCACTTGTTTGCCGCTTGCCGTAATTTGTTAAACTTTGTAAAATGTCGCACGTGGAGGATGTAAAACTAAATATATATATACACCTGGAAAAAAGTTAAGCACCCCCGTGTTTTTT